TTCAAGCTACATCTAAATTGAATGGCAGGGCATACGCAGCAGCAGGTCAGGCGGTGCTCCAGGCATACCAGGCTGATCTGCTGAAAGACCTGGATAAAGGCGAGGGCCTTTCTTCTGATGAGATGGCTGAGTTGCGCCGCACCACGGATCTTGCTCTCCGTGCTACTAAGCAGGCTGCCTCTGTTATGGGCAGATCTATGGCGGCGATGGTAGTAACGGAGAGGCAGCTGTGGGCAAACCTGGCAGACATCGGGAAGAAAGAAAGGGGTTTTCTTCTCGATGCCCCGGTTTTGCCCTCTGAACTTTTTGGTACATCCGTTGAGACGGTCGTCTAAAAGTTCAGGGACATAGTATAGGCAAGACAAGTGTACAATTCTGACTTATCTAGCTATATTTTTCAGAAGAGTTTTACAGTAGTTCAAATGCATTTAAGCAAATTTTTCCTATAACAAGCTACTTTCCCCCACAATAGAGTGGGGGAACTATGACGTCAGAACCCGGAAGAGTATTTCGTCGTGGGTTCCTTCGAGATTTTCCTATATGGGGTTTTATAATGGGTTTTTTTCAATTTATGAGTAAAATAAAGCTTGTGGTAAACATAGCTTGATGATACTTTTATGTTTTGTTCTACAACGTAAATTACACCCATCCATACCCAAAACAAAAATTTTGAAGCAATTATGTTCATTTTTGAAAATGTATGTTTTTAAATAAGTGACTAGATAAGAACGTTTGGGCTGTAAGTGTGTGCAGTTTACATTGTAAAACAAAACGTAAAAGTATCGTCAAGTTATGTTTACCACAGGCTTTATTTTACTCATAAATTGAAAAACCCCATAGGAAAATCTCGAAGGAACCCACGACGAAATACTCTTCCGGGTTCTGACGTCATAGTTCCCCCACTCTATTACCCTTCACGGGGAACTTGATTGACAGGCGATCTGACCAATCATAACGCCGAATTTGCCAATTTTGCCTGACAAACAAACCAGACCAGAGAGTAGATTAATGTCAGTGAACTTGAAAAATGGTGTGTATTGACGTCTTTGCACAGTTGAAACAAGATACCTTCTTATGTTCATTCATGTTTATTTCATGCTACAACTAGTATAGAGGACGAGATGATCACTTCACGTGAGGCGCTACAGTGATCTGTCACAACACATTAAAAAGCCACAAAATGGCATTTATTGTTTGAATTTCTTTAAAAAATTACAAAATTTGAAAGCTGAGACTATACCAAAAGTAACGGCGTAAAGACAACAATACACAACATTTTTCAATTTCAAGTCCACCGTCATTAATCTACTCTCCTGTCTGGTTTGTTTGTTGGACAAAAATGGCAGATTCGGCATTATGATTGGTCATCTCGCCTGTCGATCAAACTCCCTGCGAAGGGTCAATTAGCAGTGTGCAAATAAACGCAACATTACTGTTTTTAATGTAGCACTTCAGTCTGCATCAATGCAGAGTGAGTTGAAGTAATCGCACGCTCTCTGTACTATACTCTGCTGGAAAGTCTGATTCATTCCAGTGAATCGGTTCGTCCTAGACAGTCCTCTTTCTCTCTCGCTGGAAAGTAGGCCTACAATTGTGTCTAATCTATCAGTTCGTCCGAAATCACCCACGCTGTCATATATGTAGTCCGATTCATTCTCTTGAATTGTTTCGTTCTAACTTTTCTAACTATTCGAGTCGCTTCAGGTCATTTTTGTATTCGTATTCATCAAATATAAATGTATAATCTTAATTTATGTATAAATTAAGCATTATTCTAATATTTCCTTTACATTTAGCCTATTTAATGTAAATGTAGGATATTTATTCAAGTTTGAAGTTGTCACTAAATCATGAGTAGCTAGACTGACAAGTTACAGGTTTAAAGTAGCTTCTCCAACACATGGTTGTGCTTTCAGATGCACAAACTTTAGCAGTCAGAAATGCACGACAACAACAAAAGACACCTCTCATTTGAAATTAAAATCCCTGTAGCCCAGTCACAGTGACCATAGAGACACATATAACCTCCATGGAAAATGATGTGATTGTCTTCTTTTAGTCTTCTTTTAGTGGTTTGCATCATAAGACTCCACTTGAGCAGGACAAAGCAATCTTTCAGTTATGATTTTAAAGATGATCTGGGTGACCTATAAATGGGTGGTGAGGATGAGGAAATTGTTAGCACAAAATTTGTCTTTTCATGTGGTGTTTGTGTGGTTTTTCATTCAGTCGGAACAACCATATCCGTACAACACCACTTCATAGGACCTCAAGAAAAAAATCCTGTTTTCCCATTTTCTCCCATAATTATGGTTTCTGTGGAGAATGTAGGAAATAGCTGTGGTGTAACTGTACATGATAACTGGATAAAGTTCAGACGTGCATGTTACTTGTTTACACTTGAAGACAGTTGCATTTGAATTTATTCATTTGACAGGTGCATTTATCCAAATAATTCCTTTGCTTTTGTATCACAGTCAGACATTTATATTAAAATGATTTTTTGAAACAGTACAATTTTATGAACCTATAACTGTACAAAGCAAAACCAGCATAACATGTAATGATCATGGGCTTGGACTGCATCTTGAATGCTTTGGATTACACAAGATATTTTTACAAACCGAATTTGCAAAATGCAAACTTGCTTTCCCTTTAACATTGAGTTTGTGTTTTAAAAAAGCACGGTCTATGTAAAGTTTCATCACATATTCTCATGATGATATGGGAGGTGACTTTTAACATTTCTTGGTTTCATGTATTGCAACATCTCGAGTCAAAGCTGGACAATGTGAAGGGTGGTGTGATGTAAATCTGTTTGTGTGATTTTGGACTTGGTGTGAGTACGTGCTCAATGACCCGAAGTGAAATGCAGATTTGTTTTTGGATTTTTTTGTGGGTGGACACTAAATGAAAGCTACACTTATAAAAATTACAAAACTTGTTGAAAGTCAGATCCTGAGAGTGCAGCAATTCAGCCATTATTGTAAACATATTTACTGTTAACATGTCGTGTGCAAATATAAATACAACATCAACCAAGCGTGTTGTTTATAAGGTGCAGGAGAAGTTACATTTCTAAATATTGCAAGTTGGGTAAATTGTCCTATATTAACCAGGACAAGTCTTTCCATCTTCCCACCACAGGAGGGCGTATGAGGATTACAAATATTTTAAAACTCAGAAAACTCAAGCACCAGTGCATTTTCAATGCATAAAATAAAACTTTAGACAGATTAACACAATATTTATAGCCGTTGTGCTTAGAAAACAAAGAAAAAAAAGTACTTTTACATTTATAACGTTATATTATTTTTTAAAGTTAAAAATATTTTTTTAAATAAATGTAAAAAAAAAAAATACTTAAAAGTGTACTCGATATAATCTGTTTTCATTGTTACAGTGCATTTTATTGATCATTTTTGTGCTTCAAGTTTTCCCATCAAGGAATATTTCTCCCCCAAATACAAAAGGAAAAAAAAATACAGGTCGTCAACATTAATATGGGCTTCTTTCTTCCATAGACCCCCAAAGGGAAATATTAGGCAAGTAACAAGACACCCGAGAAACAGTGTTGGCTTTACTAATGTCAAATCTGGCATGACACGTGAAGTGACGTGTGGCCAAGTATGGTGACCCATACTCAGAATTAGTGCTCTGCATTTACCCATCCAAAGTGCACACACACAGCAGTGAACACACACAAACCGTGAACACACACCCAGAGCAGTGGGCAGCCATTTATGCTGCGGCGCCCGGGGAGCAGTTGGGGTTCGGTGCCTTGCTCAAGGGCACCTCAGTCGTGGTATTGCAGGTGGGAGAGAGTGCTGTACATTCACTCCCCCCACCTACAATCCCTGCCGGTACGAGACTCGAACCCACAACCTTTGGGTTATGAGTCCGACTCTCTAACCATTAGGCCACGACTTCCCACGTGACGCCATATTTGAATATTTGTGAGTTAAAACCTTAAAATATGAGCATGTTCAAATAGAACAAATTAGGTTCCAACAGCACATGAGATGTGTGAAGTACTTCTACGATACCTTAAGATCGTCATTTGGGGAGGTGTGGAACAAAATGAGGGTAAATGAGACAATTGATATGTTTGGATGCTCCTTTAAAGGTGTCATATGATGCGATTTAAATTTTTCCTTTCTCTTTGGAGTGTTACAAGCTCTTAGTGCATAAATAAGATCTGTAAAGTTGCAAAGACTAAAGTCTCAAATCCAAAGAGATATTCTTTATTAAATTTAAGAGTCAACCACGCCTACCTAAAACGGCTCGTTCTAACACGCCCCCACATGTCTACATCACGATGTGGGAAGATTTGCATAACGCCGCCCAAATGTTCACGCAAAGAAAGAAGGTGTAAGTATTATTCTCGCTGTAGGATTGTTGTTGCCGCCGCCGCCATGTCGTGAAGGCGCTGTGTGTTTCGTTGTGAAAGTGAAACTACTTTGTTTGGCCTTCCAAAAAAGGACGATATCCGCTTCGTCATGCCTGGAGCTGATCCGTGCTGGTTGCTGAGGAAATACATCAACTTCGTGCTGTAGATCGCTGGATCAGCTTTCACCGTGGACGAAGCAGAGTCCAGCCCGGGGTCGTCACATGTGGTTGCCGCAAGCCCAACCTTGGTTCGTCGAGGTTTTACATTTTAACGTGTATGAAATAAAAAAAATAAAAAAAAACTCAACTCCTTCGTCGAATCCGCCGGCCGCGCCTTTCTCAAACCCGCCCGCCTCTGCTTACTTAAGCCTCTGCTCATACTCTAGGCCGCTGCTCACTTAAGGCCGCGGTGTGACGCTTTTTCGTTGTGAAAGCGAAACTACATTGTTTGGCCTTCCAAAAGAGGACACGACTAATCGGCGTGTTTCAGAAAGGCGGGGCATAGAGGAGAAACATTAATGTACAGTATGTGGAAAATAATGTATTTTTTTAACCTTAAACCGCATAAACACATTTCATTACACCAAATACACCAAATAATGTTCTTTTTAGCAACATAATATGACCCCTTTAATTCTTTGCTGAAATTAAGGAAACTAACAATTCCTGATATAGGCCTACATGTCTACCCACACATCATTAGCTGAGCAATCCTTTAATATATATATAAAAGCATAGTAACGTTATTTACAAAGGTTTTAACACATTCATTTTAACTAATGAAAACATTTCATGATTAAAGCACAATGTGTAAGTGCTAAAATTAGCATGAGCTATGCTTTTATGAAACAAATAATGTCATATACTAACACTGCTCTCGTATAGTTACATGTGGTTTGCTTTAACCAAACAGAGAGGAAAATATGTAAAGTTACAAAATGAACTATTGTGTGTTATGACAATTCTACTGTAAAACACATAGAGCATCACAAAGGTTTATACGAAGAGATAAATGATAAGTCATATGACAAGACATTACTTTAATAAAGGTTAAAGTTAAATAAAGTCCATATAAAATTACCTGAAATGCCCTGCGGCACCATGCAGATGTTCATCAACATTCAGTCTGGTGCAAACATTGTTCAAAATACATATAATAATTTCACAGCAAAACAAAAACTGTGCAAAACAAAATGATCACAATGAATTTGAATACCTAGACCCTACATTCATTTAGCTATGGACAAGCTTACAACATCAAACATGATCTTTTCAGCCTTAAGTTTAGGTAGACTTTAAAGTTCCTGTAATGTACATCTTGGATCCGTTTAAACCTTGCGAGAACGTGCTCTTCTGTGTGCCACGATGTCTCTTTGACCCGCGGCACATCAGGTAGAACATCTCGATCACGTTCAGAAGCAGAGAGATACATGACACCACCAGCATGAAGATGATAAAGATGGTTTTCTCAGTGGGACGAGACATGTAACACTCAACCGTATGAGGGCAAGGAGATTGGGAGCATTCTATCTTAGGGATCATTATGAAACCGTAAATATAATACTGGCCTACGATAAAAGCAGCCTCAAGCAAGATCTTAGCAAACAAGCTGGCTAGGTAACTACCTAACAACTGGCCCTTGATTATAACTTTGCCATGATCGTCGGTGTATTTGGGATGTTGCTTTTCCTCTTGGCTTTCAGTCTGATGTCTCAGTTTCTTATCTTTGTGGAGAATATGCAGAACGTGGCCGAAGTATAGAAGCGTTGGCGTGGACACAAAGATGATCTGAAGTACCCAGAAGCGAATGTGGGAGATTGGAAAGGTGTGATCGTAACACACATTCGTACAACCAGGTTGCTTAGTGTTGCAGATCATTTTGGATTGTTCATCGCTCCACACCTTTTCGGCCCCGGCTCCGAGAACCATGATCCTGAAGACAAAGAGGACAGTGAGCCACACTTTCCCAATGACCGTGGAGTGAGACTGCACTTTGTCCAGCAGCTTGGAGAGAAAGCCCCACTCTCCCATGCTTGTGCCTTTAGTATCTTCCCTGCCTGGAAAACTAGGGGAGAAAAACAGCATTTTGAGTGGCTGGGTTTAGATCTTTTTAAAAATCAATTTGACCTAAAAATGAATTTTTTATTTATTCACCATCAAACCCCATGTGCAGTGCAAAACAAAATAATTTCTTATTCGGTATGTTTGTCCTGTTTTCCAGTACAAATACCGGTATCTAAACTTTCTTAAATTTAAACAAGAAAAGCAAAATGACTTAAGATATTAAGTCTTAAATTCCAGAAAATAAAATTAAGTGAGTTTATGCTTAAAAGAAGAAAAAAATTATCATCAGTGGGTTAAGCAAAAATAAAGATTTTCTTAAAGGTGACATATCATGAAAATCTGACTTTTCCAGGTTTTAAGTGCTATAATCAGGTCCCTGGTGCATCTACCAACCAAGGAAACGTGAAAAAGATTAACCCAGTAACTTTGTTTTGGTAAGCCTTTTTCTGCAAGCGTCTGAGAAAACGAGCGCGTCTGATTTCGCTCCCTTGGTGATGTGGCAAAGGGATTCCATTATAATATTACCGCCCCATAATCTGTAAGTTTCCATCTGCGCCGTCATTTTGATTTCACAAGCGACAACGGTGTACCAGCTCTAATGCCATGGCGAAAGTTTGAGCAAAACATGCGAACTGTTCTGTCTCACAGACGAGCACAGAACACTGTTTAGAGTCCCAGCCTCAGAGGAGACAACAGAGCAGAGCATTTATTGATGTATTTACTGTATATTGCTGCTGCCACACAGATCTAAAATAAACATGGGATTTATTTCCCAGCTGTTTACCTTCACAGACATAACCTACTGTTTTTGTAACTCATGTGTGTTTTTAACATAAACTTGTGTGTGAATGAGAACTTAGTTTAGTACTCGCATGCTGTGACAGCCGCTTTCTGTCCGTGTGCTTCGGATGTGTGCGCTCAGACAACTGTATATCTGAAGTTTAAACTCATATGGTTTAAAACGCATGATTTCAGCGCGATAAACATGATAATCAGAATCAAAACTGATGTTTTTTAACAGATACCAGTTGTAAAGGCGCAGCTCTATTCTGGAAAAGAGGGCGGGGAGCAGCAGCTCATTTGCATTTAAAGAAACAGGC